GGGGGCGGGGGCTGCGTCCGAGCCCAATCCGCCGCTCCGGCTCTGAGGTAAGCCCAGCGCGGGAGGCCACCGCCTCAGCGCCGTGCACCCCTGTCCCCAAAGTGGGTGAGATACCGAGAAAGTCTCCCGGGCAGGGTCCGGACGTGGGCGGGGGTAGCTGCTTTGTCCCTCTGCTGGGTGGCGGGGGCTGGCGGCGCGGGGGCGCCCAGCACAAAGGCCTGGCGCGAGGGGGGGTTGCCCACGTGGGCTGGTCCTGGCCGCGGGTGGACCCTCCCCACGCGGGCGGGATCCGAGCTTCCTGCCGCACGGTGTGTATGTGTGTGTGTGCGTGTGCGTGCGCGCGTGTGCGCGCTTGCAGGTCCTCACACTCTGGTCCCAGAGCAGGGCCGAATGCCCTGCAGAACCGGCGACTTTCCGGGGTCAGAAACCGGCTCTTGCAGCTGGGGCTTCGAGACGCACAGGCCCTAGCTTGGCGCTCAAATCAGAGAAAGAAAAAGTCTCTAACGGGACGGATGTGCGTCCTCTGACGCCCACCCCGGGAGTCCGAAACCAGGCAGGAGGGGTTAGTGCGCTGGTGGTCGTTCCAGGCGCGCGGGGTGTGGGACCCGGCCAGGGCCGCGCTGAGACCCGACCGCTACCTCCAGGTCCTTTCTGCCCACCAGCACCTTCCTGACCTGGACGCGCAGGCTGGGCACACACCCGCAAACATCCCCACACTCCCGCCTCCGTAGCAGCGCCTTTCTGTCTTCCCGAAGACCCCGACTGCAGAAAGATAAAGCTTCAAGTTTTCACTCCATGTCTCAAATGTGCATGAAGGAATTTAACTGCACGAGTGAATAACAGCATTAGTTTCAATTAATTTTTTTTAATCCCAGCAACAATAAACTTTGAGAACAAAAGCGCTTTTACGTCCTTAATTAGGCGAGCTTCCCATCTGTGGTCTCGAAGTGTCTGCCTCTTGATTTAACTTTGTCCCCGCCCCCGCCGCACACCCCTCCCTTCCCAGCCTGGCCCTTCGGGTGCCGAGGCCACCCCGCCCCGCGGCGCCGGGAGCTTTAACCCAGCCGGCTCCCGTCGCCCAGAAGTTCATACTGGCCGGTTGGGCGGCTGGGCTGGCTAGCACCAGGTGGCCCGCCAGCCTTCCACCCGGTCTACCCACTGGACAATTCTGTAGGCCACTGGCACTAGCGCCCGGGGCCAGCGCCCAGGGCGTGGAGCCGAAGGGAGCTTGCGAGGCGCCTTCTGTTTACCTTTTATGGTTAAAATAACAGCTTAGCAAAGAAGCGACTTCACGAAGAAGCGATTTAGTGAAATCGTCTCAAGCTGCCGCAGCTCAGCCAGTTTAATCACCCCCAGAGAGCTGAACAACTGCGAGCACAATGGGACACAAAATCATTTTGTGTGTAAATGAGCGTGGCATTCTGCTCACTTCCCTCTGCTCGGGCGGGCGGGGCTCAGCTGCGGGCGGGCGGGCGCGGGACCGGGGTCTCCCGCCGCAGCTTGGAGAAGGGGGCCCATACTGGGCCAGTTTGCAAACCTGCGGGCCCTCTCGTGCATTGCTGCTGAGCTCCCTGCAACAGGCTGTTCGGCCTTGAGTCTTAGGACAGCGGGGAGAACTGGGACTGAGTCGTGGTTTTGATGCTGGTGTTGATGGGGTGAACTTGTGTCTCTTAACTGCAACCACTTTTATGCTTCTGACCTCAGCAGTGGTCTCGGGAAAAGGGTCGTTGTCCAGCACAGATGCGTTTGTCCGAGGGAGCACTGGAGATTCGGGTCAAGGCGTAACGCCTGGGGCTTCCAATGGTGAGTTTCTCATTTGCCCTGAACATCAGATTGTGCTTTTGATGGGAAAAAGGCTGAGTGAGAACAGGATGGAGCAGTTCAGGTGATGGGTGCTTAGTGTTACCTGTCACTTTTGAGTTGTGTCTTGGTGGTAGGGAAACCTTGTGCAGTCCGCTTGGATAGAATTTCAGTTGGAATTCCTTCTCCCCTTCAGTTTATCCTCAGCGTGTCTTCCCTTCTGACTCCTCCCCCAGCAGAGCCTCCTAGGGCAGGATAATTCATTCCTGAGGTCTGTTTTGGTTTCTCAGAACTTCCTTGAGATAAGTGACCTGGTTTTCTTTTTTAAGCTTTCAGGAACTCAGGAATGCCAAAAGTAGCAGATGGGACAGCCAGCTTCCCAGTGAGGGTATAACCCTCTACCTCCACCCCAAACAGTTTCAGGTCAGGGAATTTGCCAGGGTACTCAGGGCAGAACTAATCACAGGAGAGCAACCTTACTTAAATTTGCAGAATGTGATTCTCATTGGACCTTGGTCCATGTTTTAAAATTCAGTGTTGAGTTTCAAGGCACACATTTAGAAGCCAGAGTTTAACAGGGAAAAACAGCCCCTTGGGTCCCCAGGATTTCATTTGGTTTCTCTCTAAGGGTTAAACCTGTGAAAGAGAAGTGCAGGTTAGGTGTGTGGAAGCTCTGTGAGTGTGTGTGTGTGTGTGTGTGTGTGTGTGTGTGTGTGTGTTTGTGTGTCTGTTCACCATACAAAGCTCCCTTCTCCCCCTTTGAGACAGCCCCAAGTCAGTGGAAGGAGCTGCAGAAACCTGCCCTTCTCCACCTCTCCTGCATGGAGCCTGCAAAGAGCCCTGGGGGTGGCTTCTTGGGACTGAGGGACAATCTTATTTCAGGTGGCTATGGCACAGAGAAAAGTGGCTTAGTAGCTCTGGGGAGGAGGCAGAAAAAGGGTCCATTTGCTGATTGCTGTCTGGCCAGTTCTCTAATGCCTCAGGGGCATGTGATCCTGAGGGGGTCTGGAATACATTAGGCATAGACAACACCATAGTGGGGGGCTGCTGAGAAACTGGGAGGTGCAGATTAGCAAACAAAGACAGGTTTTCTCTGCTATTGGGAGCCATAGGGGAGAGGTGGCTTCCCAAGCGACTTTCCCTTATCCCTGTATCCTGGCTTCGGTTAAAAGAGGCTTCCCTGGGTCCAGCCAGTTGCAAAAACTGTATCTTAACACAGTGGAGAGAGCTCCTGGGCTCTCTGGCCCACGGAGGGTGGGAGATCCTTCCTGTGCTGCGGTCCACAAGGTTCCCTACGGATGCAAGAGGAGACACGCTTGGTAACATGGCTCTAAACCAAAATACCAGGAAAATCAGATTTGTTCTGAAACATTTCGGGGCAATAATGGTGAGCATATGTTTCAGTACTGTCATTAGCTGAATTAGCAGACATGGAGCTGCCCAGAAAACACATGTGTGAGTGTGTGTGTGTGCGTGTGTGTTTGTGTGTGTGTGTGTAATCTGCTATGCCCAGGAGGCCTGCTTATGGGTGTGAAGAGAGGATAGTGGCAGGTGGAATATGGGGGGCCGCCTGGCATGTGTGGGGTCCCAGAGAGCATGCAGAAAGGATGACGCTAAGCATCTCTGACTCCAGGGGAGATTGGGTGCCCATGACTCTGGTTTTGTCGCCGCTTCCCACAGATACTCTGGGCAGCCATGGAAGCCTAGATGCCTCACCGGAAGGAGCGGCCGAGTGGGTCCTCGCTTCACGCACACGGCAGTACCGGCACCGCGGTGAGCCTGTAGGGTAGGCTGGGTCCATTCTGGTGGCCCCCTCTTTGCCTTTTTTCCAGGGTGCCTGCTCACTGACTGCCCTTCCCCTGGGGCCCTGGCACTCCGGAGATGGCTGTTGACTGGCTGTACAATTATGTATTTTTTGAAACAAAAATGCTCTTAATTTGATGTGAAATTTACTACATGTATAAAACTCAACGCCTTAGGTGCTGAGGAAGTCACTAATTTAGAGGTGTCTTGTTACTGAGACAAACTTGCAAAAACCCCTGAATCCCAATTCACAAATTGGTGATTCGTTTGTCAAGGGATATTTCACATCTAACACATAAGCCCGCGACCTTTAATTAGAATTTTGCAGTTTGTTTTATGCCCCTGGAGGCTGACACCTTGAAAATTTTTTTTTCTTGATTTCTTATTGCTAATAAGCATCTTTCTTTTCCCCTCTGGTACTTTGAAGAAAATGATGCAAATACACTTAATTACAGTGGTGGCCGTAATTTGTCAGCGGAATATGTGATCAGGCACAAGCAGAAGTGATCTGATTAGATCTGTGATCACACTTGCAATAAAGGGAGTACATGGCTGTGTCATTTAGAAACTCTTGGTTTTCACCTTATTTCTGTCTCTAGGAGGGAGGAAATATGTCCCGGCTGTCTCTCACCCGGTCGCCTGTGTCTCCCCTGGCTGCCCAGGGGATCCCACTGCCAGCTCAGCTTACCAAGTCCAACGCACCTGTGCACATCGATGTGGGCGGCCATATGTACACCAGCAGCCTGGCCACACTGACCAAGTACCCTGACTCCAGGTAAGAGAGAACCCCTCAACATGCCAGGCAAGTAGTGATAAGAGGTAGCATTTGTAGCTTATAATGGCAAAGCCCTGTCTACCCTGCCAGCCCCCTACAGGGCTCTTCAGGGTGCACTGCCTCATGCAGACACGGGGAGGAGGGTTCGGAAGACATAGTCTGCTTGTCGAAGACTGCTTTGAACCGGAGTTTGTGACCCTGTACTGGTAGCATTGGTTGTGTGAGGTTGCCTGACCTAGTAACGGAGACTTGACTTATTCAGAGCCTACCTCAGCTGAGCCTGACCAGCAGGGGAGTCTTATGCACCTTCAGGATCCTCTTGAGTGGGACTGAGGTCTCCCTCATTTGTGAGCAAGGGATGCTAAGTACATCTTGGGGTCCTGTGTGTGTGGAGGTATTTGATCCGATTTCTCATTTTGGCCTTTGGGAAAGTGCATAAGGAGGAAGAGCTGCAGCCACTGTTGGACCCTGAGGGCTAGCTAGCTAGCATCAGGCTTCCCTTGGAGCTGGATGTCACAGTGACTGACTAGGAATTCTAGGACATTCAGGAATATGTGAGGCAATGACTGATCATGGACCTCACAGCCCCATGGTGGATAAAGTGACCAGGCCTCTGGGGGGGGGGTGGCTTGCAGGCTCCTCCCATACTGCTTTGGTACAGCCTCCTACGCTGCTGACGCTCGGGTTGTCCTGACTCTACCTAAGGGAGACACAGGGTATCTCTGACTCCCCTGCTCTTGCCTCTTGGGTGTTTCCCTCCCTGGGTGGACCTGGTTTCCCCATTGGCACAGCAGCCGGACCCACCAGAGGTGGGCTGCATCTCTGTGAACATCCCCTGGAGGTGGCATGTCATGCTGCTTGCTGTTTGCTCCTGGAACGGTGGCAGCCACAGTTCTCTGGGGCTGCCGAGGGCTGAGCAGTGGGAGGGCCACGGCTTCGGGGCATCACCCTGATTTTATACATTTAAAATAAGAAGAAGAGTTAATTAATTCCCTAGATATCGAGGGATCATCTCTGGGGAGCTGGGGTGTCGGGCTGCCTCATCACGGGTGTGGTTGCTTAGAGCAGGGAGGATTACAGGGTGTGGAGTGGCTGCTTTGGGAGCTTATTGAGGGCCAGGTGAATAGCCCCTTAAGGAGGGCAGAAATGCCCCCTTGAGGGAACACTGGAGATGAATGCTGTGTCCAGTTCAGAATTTGGGGAGTATGGGGAACAGATGGTGGTTGGGGCTTCATGCCCTCAGCCTGGCAGAGACTAGGCATGGGGCCCTTAGGGACTTGGGGCTTTGGGAGACCAGGAGCCATGAGGCCAGGTCAGTGGCACAGGCCTACGTGCTGACTTGCAGAGCCCTGTCTTGGGCAGGAGATGGATTCTGCTTATTTAATTTGAGTTTTGCCTTCTGCGGCATTCCCGAGTTGCATGAAATAGATCATTCCTTAATCGGCTGACGATGTTTGTGAGTGAAATTCATAAAATCTTTGCCTATAACCCTCTCGGAAGAGTGTTTCCAGAAGTCAGATGTTTGCCTTTCTGGAGCAATCATAGTCCAGACCTTGGGGAAAGGTCTCTCCACTGCTGCCTGGGAACAGGGAGGGCAGGGCTGGTCTTCCCTTCCCAATGCACAGTGTGGTTCATCCTTCTCCTGTGGCCCCATGGTCTGGCATGTGCGACTCTTGATTGGCAGGATGTGCCCAGAGGGGGTAGCAGTCAGTGTACTTTCCCAGGACTGGGGTCAAGATGAGTGTGTTGTTCTGCCCGGATGGCTTCTGGTTTGAAGTAGAGCTGATCCCCAGGACTGAGGCTTTGGCCTAGAGGCCAGGGGCTTTTGAGACCTGCAGGATAGCCAGGGAACTGGCGTGAGGCCTCTGTCTGGCGAGGATATGTGTACCAGCTCTGTAAATTTAATTTTACAACTTAAAACTTGTTTTTCAACAATTTTGGAATGAAGATCTATCCCTTCCCCAGTATCATTGATGGTCACCTCTCACATGGAGAATTAAAAGTGCTAATTCCTAATGGGAGTTTCTGGATATCAGAAATGTCATGCCCTGGGCAGAGCTGTGATAGCGAGGGTTCCCTGTGCCCACGGCACTGTGCTCAGGATTCTGGTTCTGATGGGTCAGGGTGGCCTGGGTGTCAGAGGGCCTGGTGCTGGGTGTCTCCCCTGGTCCTCCCAGGAGCAGTCATTGGTCCTTACCCAGAGACACAGCTGCCTGGGGCTGGGTAGACTTCCTAGTCCTGGTAGACTTCCTGTGTCCTGCCTGCTTCATGTCACTTGTCTGCTGGTGTCCATCTGACTGTGGAGAACTACAAATGGAGTTGGCCAGGAGCTTTGGGACAAATGAAACCTTGTGCTGAAACATCCAGGAACTTGGAGCCAAAGCTTTTTTAAAAAGAGAATAAAAAAGCCAATGAAGATAGTATGATGCTTCCCTCTGTGCACTAGGGGCGGGGGGTGGAACAGTCTTCTTTTCTGCCCCAGAGGGTCCCAGCTGCCGCAGTGTGAACTTACCAGCTTTCTCCGTGGAGGACTTCGCAAGTTGGCTCCCACACCCTGCAGCCTCCCTCAGGGTGGCCTGGGGCTGGTTTCCATAGGGACACATGGAGCCACCCACAGAACCAGGAGGTCATGGTGGGAGCTCACTCTAAAGACCCTGCGAGTGGCAGAGGGTTCTTTGGTGGTGATGGTCCTGACCCTCCCTCAGCCTGCATGCATCCTTGGTAGGCTCGGATGCCCAGGGCATGAAAGGTCTTTGTGCTATGAGATGCGCTGCTGCCGGTTGGTCCCGGAATAGACGCTGAAGTGTGGAAAGATCTAGAACCAGCCAGCCCTCAAATAAGGCAGGTTGAGAACTTCCCAGCCTTGGATCAATACACCAACATAGAACCTAGCCAGCCCCGGAACGTGGGTGGATTAGGAGTCCTCTAGACCAACAGGACAATCTACAGCCTCAGCCAGCCCTGATGTCAGAGGGATTTGGATCTCAGCCAGGCCCAGCACATTGCTTGCTGTATCCAGCAGCTGAGCTCAGCCGCGAGGGTGTGGAACATTCCCAGGGAGACCGAGGCTTTGGATTTGCTGACTCACCTGTAGATGTGGCTCTTACCTCTTCCTGCTCATGCCTTTTGTGGACCTTCAGCTGTCTGCAGACCACTGTCCATGCACCTGGCAGCCTGGCTGAGCCACATGTCTCTAGGGATGCTAGTGGCCCTCAACTCTGACAACTCAATGTCCAAGCTCCAGGCCACTGGGCACTTTGAATGCTGCAATGAGTTGTGAAACTCACAAGGTTTTCCAGCATGAGCTGTGTCCCCCAGGACCACTATCACAGGTTTTGGGCTCGGTAGCCTTTGCAGCCCTGAGAAGAGTATTATCTGGGTGGCTGAAGCTCTGGTTCCACAGGCTTAGCCCTCCATAGCCCTCTCTGTGGCCTCTGACCCACTCACGCCCATCCATGAGGTGGTCCTGCTCTTTTATGCTTCCCCACTGGGGCAGAGGCTGACCATATACCTACAATGAGAGCAGGAAACTGCATAGCTATCCTGTATGTGGATGGAACCTCTTGGCTGACACCAGGCCACTATAGCATACTGTGGTATGGATGGGAGGCCCTGAGAGGTGCTTGGGGGCTCTAAGCTGCTCAGCTTTTGTCTAGCTAGTATTCCTGGCAGTGATAGGCAGGGCCTTGGGAGAGGTTGTGAATGGACAGCGAAGTGGGCTGTTGTGGGGACAGAGGAGCATCGCTGGAGAAGTATAGGATGGCGCAGGTCCCAGCTGTACAAGCGAGGCTGGTAGTCGAAGGTTGAGCCAGCCTTCTCCAGACTTGCAGACAATCTGATGCTGCGGCAGGATCTAGAGGGGCCTGACTATGTGGCCTCATTGCGGGGAGATGCTGCTAGCCTCCCTCCTCTTCCTGAGCCAAGTTCTTGGCTGCCCCAGTCATCTTGGGCTCCTGAGTTTCCATAGCTGGGGTCTGCTGGGTAGTCAGCCAAAGCAGAACCTGTTGCCCTGGGCACTGGGGAGGCACCAGCTCTAGCTCTGAGACTGGTTCTTCCTCCCTGGAGTGGACAGGGACAGTCATCAGGGGTTCCCCAAAGCCTATTACATGTCCTGTTTGTTAGAGCCACCACTGTTACAAGGACAGGGTGCCAGCACCTGGTGGTTCTCACCCCTGCCAGGTGTGCACACGCTCTGGCATATATGAATGCCCATGCTGTGTCATGGACACATGCTTACATGCTATGGTATGTGTGGGGGCTGGGGTACACATGCACACAGGCTGACCCTCCCACCTGCTTCTGTTTCCTCCGTGGCTTCCTAAGCAAGAAGCTATGGGGCATTTGTGATTTTGTGTTTCAGAGTGACTTGGGTTGGTTGGTGTATGTCTTGGCCTGTGTGTTGGGTCAGCCTGAGATTTGTGTGTTGCCAGGAGAGCGACTGTGTGACCCCATGCCCGTTGCCTGAGTGTGCTGTGTCTGATGCTCATTGACCTGGGTTGGATGAGGAGGGTATGGATCCCTAGTGACTGTGTTGGCTGGCTTCCATGTGTTCACCAGGTTTGTGGCTGTTGGCTGGGGTATCAGGTGGTCAGTGTGCATTCTCTGGGTGGGTCTGTCTGGCGAGTACAGAGAGAACCAGCTCTGTGACCACTTGATTGGTGTCTCTTGCTGTAGTTTTCCAAGCCTGTAACGTGTGTCAGAGGGCTAATGTATACAGATGGGTGTTTCCTTTTCGGGCTGTGGCTTATGGGTGTAGGTGAAACTTGTGGCATGTTTCTGTAACTGTCCCATTGTCCTGTATGATGGTGGCCTGGATGCCCCAGGTATGTGCAGATGGCTGTCAGGCCTGGCATGGCCCCACATGGTCCCTCACCCCTCCCAACAGGGTGGGCCCTGAGGAGTGGGGGCAGGGTAGGGGGATTTTGCCCCTTCCTTCCCACATCCCGCTTCATCTCTTGCTTCCAGAATAAGCCGCCTCTTCAATGGCACTGAACCCATTGTTCTGGACAGTTTGAAGCAACATTATTTCATCGACCGGGATGGGGAGATTTTCCGCTATGTCCTGAGCTTCCTGAGGACATCAAAACTGCTGCTCCCGGATGACTTCAAGGTAAGTCCACAGCCAGTGGTTCCCCTTGTGTGGCCTGTGCTGTGGCATTACACAGGGGACGCTGTGACTTAATAAATGGACCCCATGGTTGTCATGACAACCATAAAAAAGTTAAACGCTGAAGCCAAGGGCTAAATCAGTTTTTCTAGACTAATTTTGTTTTCTCACATTTTTAGCTTATTTATCGGGGTGTAACAACAATTAAGCTGTGGCACTTACCCCAGTTTAATGTTTGTTGCATTTAAGGACTGCTACGTGCTGGAGTTACAGGAGTTAGAGGTTCATAAATCTATACCTTGTTGGCAGTTCCCAGAGGGAAAACCCTGATGATCCAAACAGACAACTGTTGCCACCAAGTCTCAGGATGAACCTGTCCAGGTTCACCGTATCCTCCCCGAGCCCTTCCAAAGCACCAGGAATCATGGGAGGAAGGAAACTCAGACCTGATCCACCCCAGCTCATGTTAGCAAAAATCCTTCTTTCCTTTATTTCCTTCCTTTATCTACCCAGAGAACCCTTAGCCTTGGGTCTCTTTTGTCCTTTACCCATTTCAGTTACTGAATGACAGTGACTGAACTTGAACTGAAAATATGGTGACACATAAGGAATCCACAAGCCCTACCCATGAGCTTCCAGTCCAGTGGAAAGATAGACATTGAACTTGAATCTCATGGAGCAAAATGCCTCAGAGAACAGTATTGTGCAAGCAAATGGGGAACCTGACCCAGGTGGGTTTCATGGGTGGTGAAGGAGGAACCAGGTAGCCAGATGTGAGGGCCTTGGTGAGGGGCTGGAAGAGGCAAAGGGCTTGATACATTCCAGCAGTGGAGACGGGGGTCAAGCCTGGGGCCTTGTGAACTGGGAAAGGAAGGGCAAGAAGGGCTGTCTGATGGCAGGGTCTTGGTGAGTGGCTTAGCATTTGGCACTTCCCCTGCACACAGTGGAGGGGTTGTGAGTAGGAAAAGGGCAAGCAGTTCACCAGCTGGAAAGATCACACTGGTCTCCAGTAAAGTTCAGGGAGGGAGTGGGGTGGGAACAGGAGGCCACTTATGGATGAGACCACTTCCCCAGAGAGATTTGCTGAAGGCCTGGGACCAGGGTAGAGGTAGGATAAGGTAGAGCAAGGGGGAGACTAACATGTAGGAAAAGGCTGCACACAGACCTGGGGTTGCGTTGGCTTAGTGTTGAGCACCTCCAACACTGTGCTGGGTGTCTCCCAGCTGGTGGCTCGAGTCCTGAGTTGATGAATACAAACTCAAGCATTGAACAGGTTGAGGACAGGTATTGCCTCGTTCCTTTGGGAAGAGCTGGAGACATTTCGGGCTATGAGGAAAGGTGAGGTCCCTTAACCTACGGATGTCACATTTAACTCCAAGAGAGCAGAGGCCCAGGATGGAGCCCTGAGGAGTCTTTGTGAAGAGGACGGAAGGGTCCCTAACCCGTGGCAGGCTCAAAGGAAGGGTGAAGACTTGGGATTCCCTTGGGGCAGTTCCAAAGGCCATGGGATGGGCCCTGTTTTTTGGGTTGGGCTTCCTTGCCTTTCCCCCAGGGGTCCTCAAGCTTGCCAGTCACCTATACCCTGAACCCAAGGAGTAGTGTGAATCCTGGGCCCAAGCCACTCGGGGCTGGGGTTGATATGGGTGCACAGGGACAATATCAGAGAAGTAATTTGTGTGAGTTCGCCCAGTGGGGGAGCTAGTGGCTTGGTGGGGGCTGGGCTTCGCCTTTCCAGCCACCTCATGGTACTCTGTGCCTGCTTGGGCAGGGTCAGAGCCAGGCACTTGTTAGACTTTTCCTCCTTTAATTCTCACTTGCCTTCTCTTAGCTGGGTGTTTATACCCATTTTAATGATGGGGAAACTGAAGCTCAGAGAAGGTCAGTAACGGAGACTGATAGGTCTTGGGGCTGCAGGCGATGAAGCTGAGAATCCAACCCATACAGGTCTTCCTGGAAATGACCTCCCCACTGGAATGTGGTTTCCTCCAGAGTGGGTTGAGGGAGGGGTACCCTGTGTCTAGCCTGATGTCTTCTCTGGATGGGATTCTAAGAAGGCAGCAGGTCTTCAGGCAAAGACATAGGCTCCTCCTCTTGAGTGTGAGCGTCGTCTCCAGGTCTTTTCATGAGGCTTCTCTGCCCCACGGGGATGAAGTTGCCCACTGCTAAGGCCAGAAGTTGCCCAGGGGGGTCTGGCACAGGTGCCCACTAGTCGGAAGCTAGAGTCCCTGTGCCTGTGCAGAGCATCTGACCCTCATTTGCCCTTCTGTACAATAAGGACGACCATCCCAGTCCACACTGAGCTATTGGGTCACAGTTCCTGCAGAGCTGTAAGAGGAAGACCCCTGGGTCTGGAAAGTACTGACCGCCTCCCCCTACCCTGTGTGCACCTGTCCGACCCCTGTGCGCATGTCCACAGGACTTCAGCCTGCTGTATGAAGAGGCCCGGTACTACCAGCTGCAGCCCATGGTGCGTGAGCTGGAGCGCTGGCAGCAGGAACAGGAGCAGCGTCGCCGCAGCCGGGCCTGCGACTGCCTGGTGGTGCGCGTCACGCCTGACCTGGGGGAGCGCATCGCGCTCAGCGGAGAGAAGGCTCTCATCGAAGAGGTCTTCCCTGAGACTGGGGACGTCATGTGCAACTCGGTCAACGCCGGCTGGAACCAGGACCCCACGCATGTCATCCGCTTCCCGCTCAACGGCTACTGCCGGCTCAACTCCGTGCAGGTGAGGGCTGAGGCCACCCAACCCACCTCCCGCTGCCTCCTGAAGCCCTGGGGCCGCAGAGCGAGACCGAGGAGGGGCGGTCCCTGAAATGGCGAAGCCCTCTGTGCCATCTTACAGAAAAGGCAACAATGTGTCGATGCATAATTTATAACGCGCTCATAATTAAATGATGGCGCCTGGGGGGATGGACTTAAAAAAAATTGATCTCTATTCCCCCCCCCCAAAAAAGGATGTTCTATAAAAATGGCCCAGAGTATTTTCAACCAAGTGTGCAGTCATTTGACACCCAGAGTCTGACTTTGGATTCAAATAAAACCCAAGCACCAGGAGAGGTGGGACAGAGGTGGAGTCCCTTCCTCATCCTGCTCACCGTTGAACCACACTGCCACCCAGCAGCTGCCCAGAGCACATCTGGACTGGCTTTTCCCAGATGGGTGTAAGGACTGAGAAACCCCAATGGAGTGGGGGGGGTTCTGTTTTCTGGATCCAAGGGCAGACTTGCATTTTGGGGTGAGGGCAGAATAGGCTCTGTGGGAAAAGATCCTCCCAGGCACACACTCTGCAAGTTGCCATCAGAACTTGATAGTTACGGGACACAGATGTCAGCGACTAAAACCCACCCTCACAGAGGCAGAAACCCACCCACGTGAACATGGAGGCTGCAGAGAGACACACACCGGGAGGACTGCCCTCTCTTTCTTTCCACCCAGAGCTCCTTTGAGCTGATGAGCCCCCAGGCCCCAAACCATCTGGGACTCACAGCTCCAGGAAGCAGGTGGCTGCCCAGAGGCTGGGGGCAGGGGCTGTCCATTATTGGGGCAGGAGAGGGTGCCTGGGGCCATGTGCGTGTGAGGAAAGAGGGGCAGATTACACCCAAGAGAAGGGAAGGGTGCAAAGGATCTTTGTTTCTTCTCTACAGCAAGGCTCTACACCCCAGAGAGCAGCAGAGAGCCTGCGCAGAGCAGCCCACCCAGGTGGGATCACACAAGGGCTCCGTGGGTCCAGCTGTGTCTGTCCCTCCTGTTGTGGCACCCAGCTGATAGTACAGTTGGGACCTTTGTCAGGGAGTAAGACAGATCTTAGCAGGAGAAAGTAGCTTGCTCTGGCAGATACCTGAATGCCCGCCAGCCCAGGCGAACTCTTGTAGCTGGGTACTACTGACTCCTATTTCTTCCCTGATAGGTCCTGGAGAGGCTGTTCCAGAGGGGTTTCAGCGTGGCTGCGTCCTGCGGGGGTGGTGTGGACTCTTCCCAGTTCAGCGAGTATGTGCTTTGCCGGGAGGAGCGGCGACCGCAGCCCACCCCCACTGCCGTCCGGATAAAGCAGGAGCCCCTGGACTAGGCGCTGCCTCAGTGCTCATCTGAGGCCTCTCAACCCTGGGTCACCCCCAGAGACCTGGAAACAGTTCTGGGGAGTCCTGCCTTTGTGTGCTTAGCAGTGGGGCTGGAGGGCTTCCGCCCAGGGAGCACCAGGGCCCCGGGTGTCATGGCAACAGAAATGTGGGATGCTGGAGGCGTGTCCACTGAAGGAGTGTTGATGTGACCTAGAGATGCTGTGGCTGGAACTCCAGTGTCCACTCTCCGAGCCCCTGGGCTCCCCAGCCCGGTACAGTGACCTCTGAGGCTCAGGGACCTGCCCAGGCAGGGTTAGCAGAGGCATCCCCAGCCACTCCGGAGCAGCCGATCATCCTTCTCCACTCACGGCAGACTCTCACAGGTCTCCTGGCTTCAGAGATGGCTTATTTTTCTACAGTATTTAAAAATGGAAGTAACTGTCACTGCACAAGTCAAAGAGGCCGACAAGGACCAAGCCTTCTTTATCTGGTGCTCAGTTCTCAGTTGAACGTGCAGCAAGCCTGCATGGTGGATGAGCTGCAGGGTGCTCAGGCCCAGCTGGGGCTCTGGGGACAGATGCGGCAAGGACAGTGCTGCAGAAGCAGAGCCCCCAGGGGGCAGGCTGTTGGGAGGAGGGCTATGGGGGCTGGGTGGCTCTTGACCTATCTTAGACCCTCTCCTTTGCTGCTGTACTTGGTAGGTCACCTGACCTACCCATGCCCAGGGGCTTCCCATCCCATCTGCATGTACTTACCTGGGTCCCTAGAGAAGTCTCTCACCATCCAGACCAGCCATGGGGCTGCACCTTACCTCAGGAATGGGCCTCATTACAAAGAAGCCCATCTGTCAGCAGCATCCTCTGGGTCCCCAGCTCAGGGAGCCACCCCCAGCTCCAGTTTTTCCACACTAATATGCACACTTGAGTTTTCATTAAACTCGTTATGCTAGCCTGCCTGTGAGACCTGGACACAGGTATATCTAGTGCTCTTGACCCCAGGTTCCAGTGAGGACTGGCCCCAAGAGGGCCCAACCTGCTGCCTCCCATATAGGCCCAAAGATGGACACCCCCCGGCCTTGCCACACTTCCCCATGTGCTGGCTCCTCCCAAGGGGAGAAACTGCAGAGAACTGGTGGGTGGGGTGCCCCCCTTGGCACTACCCTGTGTATAATGCCTGTAGACTTGTATATGACTCCTTTAATATTGTAAAGATGCTGATGTACAATTGTCTTGTTTGTGTAAACACATTACGTTCTAGTTCATGCCATAAATGATGCTATCAAGCAAAAGACTGAGGCTCCATCCTGTGCAGAAGCAGCAGCCGGGTTCCCACATTTGATGTTGTGCAGGGAGGTTTGGGGGTGGAATTCCTCCCTCAGGTCCTTTAGTTCAAATCCAGGAATAACCAGCAGCGGTAGCTGGGGGAGGGGCAGGGGCAGGGGCCTGAGCTGGGTGTTATTTATTGCATTTGGGTATTTCTTCGCTGCTTCTGCCTGTCCCCTCTGGGCAATACAGATTCTGAATTCCGATTCACAGCCCCTAACCAGATGGAAACACGGAAAGGCAGGCAGAAGGTTTCTGGGAGCTTTTGAACCTAGTCTTAAATGTTTCGGATTTTCTCTCTCACTGTCTTTTGGTTGGAGGTGATATTCTCTTTAGAATTCCATACAACCACATAAGAAGGTGGCAGGCCGTGGCTTAGGCCAGCCAGGGGGACAGAACCATGCAGCTAACATGAGGACCACAGATTGCCTAAGCAAACTGGATCTGAATAGCCAAGGGGAGGAGCCTGAATATGTCCCACAGGCCCCCAATTTTAATGAAGCTTTTTTGTATTTTTCTTCAAAGCCCCTATATTCTAACCCGTGAGGACCTTTTTACATGCCTGATAAAGTCCACCAGGCTTGACCTGCCTGGGAGCACAGGAGCAGAGGCCGGCAGCTTCCTGTCTGAATCCCACTGTACAATCTAATTTGCTGGACAAACTTGCTAGGCTTCTCCTCTGCTTAGCAACACGCCTACTGTTGGCACATCTGCATTTTGGCTCACATCTGAGGAGGAGAAAGTGTTGTGTTTATTAGGAAGGAAGTCTTGTGAAAACAGCTCAATTCAGTGTGTGTTCATGGATTTTCTGGCACAATAGCATGAGTACTGAGGGGTTGAGATTCTTTAACATTCTCAAACATTCTGTGCATTTAAAATAATAAGGGGGAGGAGAGTAACTCTCATATTAAAATGTTACTCTGTATTTCTTTACCAGTTAAGTAAAATCAAAAGGTATGAGTTTATGAAACTTTATTATTTTATATGATGCTAGGAATTGAACCCAAGGCCTCATGCATATTAGGCAAGTACTCTACTACTCACCCCAGCCCATGAAGTATGATTTAACATCAACTGGGGAGTTTCTGAATTTGTAGGAAAATACTATGTTCCCAGAGTACTGCTATCATTCTAATATGCTTCCTCTCCATAAACAGTAAGTACAAATTATCCATTCTTTTAAGCATTTCTACTCTTCCTGGAATGAATAGATTAAAATTTTGAAGAAATACCAGCAGTATCAATGTTAACTTCTGCCCTTCCACAAACCTCACTCATGAATTATTCTTGAACGTAAGCAACTGAACAGGACTGTGCCAATGCTGTTTCCCACCAAGCTAATGCCAGCACAGAGAATCAGGCAAAGCCATAGCAGGCAGCTTCTACCGCTGTCCCCTCACATGGGCTCAAATATAGGTCACAACACTAATAATATCTTTTTAAAATGTGTGGTTTTTTTTTTAAACCTACTACTTGACTGTGTTCCTTAGACTAAATAAAGGATATTTTATAAATTACACACAGCTCTAGTGCTTTGTTTTCAGTCTACCAAGGAAGCCACAAGAAGGTATTGTAACTTGGGTGATTACTTGGAACTTGATTGGCCGCCTTGAGTATCTATACTAAGTGCAAATCCCAAAGCTTCCTGTTCGGAGCATCCTGCTGAGGATTGGACCCTTTGCAGCTGCCTGGGCCCTCAACACCTAGCACACACCCTGCCACAGCCCTGGGAGTGAGGGCATTCAGGCAGTGACCTCCTCCACCTCTTCCAGACCCCCAGCCCTGGGCTCCAGCTTCCACCAATGCCAACCCCTGGGTGTGCTGAGCCTTTTGCACTAGGTTGGTTTCATGCATGCGTATGTGTGAACAGAGCCACTAATGCATTTGGAAAGATGGCAGACAGTGTATATGTGAGAATTGGGGGAAACTGTCCACTAAGCTTCTGTTCAGGAGAAGACTTGAAGTTGACTGAGCCCAGCAGAGTCTGTCCCCTGACTAAGAGGCAGACCTTTGTTCCCTGGAGAATGCTGTCTACCAAGATGGCCCCATCCTGACAGGCCCTGCTCTCCCCCTTGACTCCACAGACAGCAAAACAGTTACACTGGACCAGGAGGATAATCTAGGACACAATATTGGAGCGTCTAAGTAGGTGACGAGGTAGAATATATAAAAATGGGAGCTGACAGAGGATTTTCAGTTGAAGGCAGGCACTTACTTCAAAACAATAAAGAGCTCTGGACAGAGCTAGAGGGACAACCAACGGCCAGAGAGGGCAGCTTGAACCTCATATCTCGGCTGATATGGTGTTCTGTGAAATGTGATAAGGCCATGTGATGCCATAAATTTAGTTGATTTTATTTTTTTGTACCGGGAATTAAACCCAGAGGTGCCTAACCACTGAACTATATTCTCAGCCATTGATTGATTGATTGATTGATTGATAGATAGATACAGGGTCTTGCTAAGTTGCTTAGGACCTTGCTAAATTGCTGAGGCTGACTTTGAACTTACAATCTGTAACCAAGTCACTGGGGTTACAAATGTGTGTCACCACTCCCAGCCCGTTTCAGTTGATTTTAAGAGACAGGCAAAGGTGTTTAGTCACAAAGCTCAAGGCAGCCCCATAAAGTGGTCTTGTCTCATGTGTGATGAGGGCACAGATGGCCCTCTTTCTACTCCCCCAAAACCCACCCAAAAGAGGTGGCTCCTTGTAGAAAGAGCACTTGGGGCCTCTGCAGACATCTCATCTCTAGTGGAGGCTTTGATTTGAGATTATCTATCCTCAAAGACTCTGGGTTACAAGAGAGGGTAAAATCTTACTGTATTCATTGCCACCAGTTGTCAGACTATCCACAAATGGATGTCCTTAAAATTAATTAAGAATAGAGGAATGATTTTCATGCATATTTGTCAAAAGAAGCTCCTGCCTTATTAGCGTGAGAATTCACATTAGACCCAAACAAGGTTTGTTGTCAGTATCCATGGAAACCTATAAGGGAGTCACAAAGATAAAGCTCTAATGCCCACATAAAGCCCAAGACAGTTTCCCTGCTTTTTTTTTTTTTTCATAACCTCACCCTGATCTGAGGAAGATGGTCAAGGGCACTTGCTTAGAGAAAACGAACTCTACAGTAACAACAGTAACTTAGATAAAACCACTCAATTCACTAACTGGGGCCCAGAGTCAGAGCAGCATTCTCTTCAGAATTTCTTTTTCGTAGGAGCTCATTCCTGGCACATTCTTGGCAGTTCTGATAATGTCTAGACCTCAGGAGGTAGCCCTGCAAGGAAGGAGACAAAGAAAAAGGTGTTGGTGGCCGCTGAGAGCAACTTCCTGCCAGGAACAAGATTTGAGCTGATATTCTCTCAAGTTCAGGGAGGGAACCCTCAGCCCCAGGGAAACCCGCACCCCCAGTCTTAGGCTAATTCTTGGATCTGGCTTGGGAACTCTGAATTGCAGCTCAATTCCCACAAGCCTCAAAACTGAGCAAGTGGGGTTCCTGCCTGACCCACGGTAAGCTCTTCACACCTCAGAGTCTAGAAAGGCACTCTTGAAGGTGGGTGTCCAGGCATGGCTGATGATTGGTAGTTTCTTTTCCACCTACCCCTCGCAATAGAAGGATGTGTTAGATAGAACTGATGCTATTTGGGTGGTAAGTCAAACCACCATGACTGAGAAAGCAGGTAGAGGTGGCTGCTGGTTTCAGACTTTGGTTATTAAAATGGTCCCTGCTTCCCTACAAAGATCTTTATCTCCCTAACCACTGGAGGACAAGAATCGTTAGTGTAACCAACCTATGCCAGCCACTGCAGGGGCTTGGATGATGACATATCCTATGGGCTAAGAGAAGGCATTATTTTTATCCACAAGAAATGTTTACTTTTAATTGTTTATTGGAGGATCTGTAGGTATCCAGAACAAAAACTATCTATAGTTTCCCATTTTGTCATGACACCAAACGCAGATTTACTCCCAAATGCCTGAATTTTCATGTAGAACCAACTACCTCTCAGACCTCCAAGTCAAAGAAGCTTCTCTAAAATTCTAATGAGACACCCAGAAAATGAGGCAGCCACACTCCTCCGGAAAAAAACACCTAAGGAGAAGGGCCAGAGGTCAGCTGCATTTGGATTTTTGTCTTTATTTCCATTACTCAGAACAGCCAGTCGTGACAGCCATCCTTGGCTCCCAGGCAGTGAGGGACAATGCTCTTCCTTGACCCAGAGGCATGGCAGAGGAATAACAGCTGGGTCATCAGAGCCTGACTCCTGGGACCCTCCTCACACGGAAACCACAAACCAGGATACAGTCTTTGGGAGCTGAAAGGATGAGCCAGCTGCGCTGGAGCAGCAAGTAGACCACCCTGCCCCTGGGAGGACCCAGGCGTGGGCATCCCTGGCTGGATGGGCCGGAGATGCTCCACCAGCCACAGCTGGAGCGTCTGCGGGCCAAGCGTGCGGCTCGACAGCCGTGTCTAGAATGTCACCAGAGCTTCCTCCTCTGTGTCCTGGACGGGATCCAGGGCTCCCGAAGAAGCTGCGGTTGGGTGCGCACAGACTGCCCGGGCAGGGCTGGGCTGCTGCGAGCGCTGCGGACGCGGGCCACGCCCTCTTGGACGCGACCACGCCTCCATCTCCCGGGGCCCACGGAGCCACGCCCGGCCCTGCAGCCAAACAGCAGGAAGGCAGATTTGTACGAGTAAGTACAAGGTCCTGGAATTCTCGCCCGGTTGCCACACACTATAGGGAGAATAATTGGGGGGAGATTGTGCAACTGCCCGAGAAGCCGGGGCGTACAGCGAGGGCTCTCAAGTTCTCATCACAGGCGTCCCGGGAACCTTGGGACAGAGCCGAGAGCCACCTTTGAGTGACACCCATGCCTGGCTCCATCAGGGAAGCAGTATGGCTCTGCGGAGAGTGGGAGAGCCCGGGTCCAGGCGGGGTGGACCGGAAAGAGGGT